TTTTTCGTACTAGCGTGGTTGGTCGTGTAAATAACCTACGCTCGCAGTGTACAGACAGTATTCCTACGACCGTCTATATATATATATATATATATATATGAGGCTTGTTTATGGTAACGGTATAGTGGTATCTTATTCTCTGTTTATTTTGGTCCCTCTGTAGTTGACTGGAAAGGATATGTACTCGGTGCCCATGACCTCGTCTGAGGAGCTCACTCCCTGGATCGAGTCTGGTTTGGCGTGTCCCCGCTCCGGGCTACACAACCCACACAGGTGAGTATACATCTAGTCGCGTTGTGCCATCAGTTCGTATCTTGGACTAATTCACTGTCTGAACAACGCGTCGATGCTGTGTATAATAAACTGCGCAAGCATATTGTATATTACAACTGCCCTTGTTTTTGGTTTGCGAGTGCTCACGGTCTTGAATCCACGCCCAATCACAGAAATGTGGAACGATACAACATATACGGTGATGTGAACTTCAAGATCGCGCAGGCTATGAATGAGCCCGAAGTTGAAGAGTACTTCGTCAAGCTGATCCAGCGAGTTACCCCCAAGAGCAAGGTACGCCGACCCAGATACCCCAAGCTGTCACAGATACCAGTAGAACATGCTACCAGTGTATTCATATACCTTGACTCGGGTGATAGCATGTGGTACATGAACTCATAGCCACCAATTTTGTACTCTTCTGCACTGTCGTAGTGTGAACAAACTGACTGCTGTTAGTGTTTGATTTATACTGGTAGCGTTTCACGAACCTCCGTCGACTTCCCAGCGCTCAAGCTTTCTATGTACTTGTCATCGCACCATGATTGGTATGAGTATGACACTCATCCGCTGTCACACCCTGTTACAATTGATCTACAATCGACCCCTGTAGACCCAGGCTCTTGGAGAAATCAACACCGCCCGCAAGTGGCTTGCTATGTACGCCGGCGATCAGGTAAGTTATCTGAATATGTAAATTTCATGTATGTTAGGTGAATTATGCTGAATGTGTAGATATTATGTATGAGTGTGATAAGTAAATTATAATGAACAAGTACGTACCATGTATAAGCATGTACATATATGTACTCGAGTTATGCTCATTATCCGGCCAATGTCAATGCAACAGGTGCGTTTAAATATATTCGTTTCTGCGTGTGTTGTACTTTTACTACGGTCACTGGATATGTGCTGCACCCACCATCGAATCAAACATGCTTCGTCAATACTGAGTACATGCTACACTAACACAGGTTCGCATGCTTGCTCGAGGGTTCTCTCTCACTGGTGACCACCTGGGACAGGAAACACGTGGTTTCCGGTACCCCTTTGGAAATACCGCCGTCATCACACCTTTCAACTTCCCGCTGGAGATCCCTGTCCTACAGTCCCTCGCGTCCCTATTCATGGGCAACAAGGTTTGTATCTGCCCTGCAGGGTCCTGATAAACAATTTAGGACCCATAGGTACATGGGTTGCATACCATATCCAGTTTTTATAGTACTATCCGTTATGAATATGTGTAGAGATGGAATTGGTATTGCTGTACTTTCGTGCAGCCAAAACTTCTCGCTGGGCACGCAAGAAGTGTCGTTAACAAGCATAGCATTCTTCGCACACTTGCACATTGCAAAACCTCTATATGTCGCTTACTATAAAGGTCATATTATGACCCTTTTCAAGTTAGCTTGAAGGTGTAGTCCAGCGCGGAAAGTAAAGGTCGAGCGTAGACATACACAACTGACATGACACTCTCGGGCATTTGCAGGTGCTTGTCAAGGTTGATGAGAAGGTACAGATTGTGATGGAGCAGTTTATCCGTCTTGCCCATCACTGCGGTCTGCCTAAGACTGATATGGATATGCTTTACAGGTAAGCTCTTGATCTCCTATCTGCGGTCAGGTTATGCGTAAATTGGTGCTTGTTATTTATGTGTTGACGGTGATTATACACACATCTATAGATCTGTGCTCTTCCTCGAATTCCTTGTGCCTACTGATATACACAATTACTATATTTCACTTCCGAACACTCGTATGTCAGTATACGACTGTTATTGGATGCTACTGTCGCCGTCTTCGTTATCAGTATATGCTTCAGTACTCGAATGAACTTCCGGTTAAATTTATTTTTATCCTTCAATAGTTCCGGACCCGTATGCGGCGAGCTGCTGCAGAAATCAGACTGCAAGCAGACTGTGTTCACCGGTAGTCAGGCGGTTGCTGAGCGATTGGTATGTGGACTTGAAAACGAGTATTTTGCTATGTCTGAATAATTCAAATAACAATCTTAATAATTATAGCATATGAATCACATTATGTGGACTTGAAAACGAGTATTTTGCTATGTCTGAATAATGTTAATTGATGTCGGAATAATTTTAATAACAATCTTAATAATTTGAGCATATAAGTCATATTTATCGTATTGCGTTACGGCGTCAGAGTCCACGGGTTCTTTGCCTGTCTCATCTCACGAGATGTTCGTCTCTAACGCCGTTGCATCTTCATGGTGTGAATAGCAAGAGAATTAGAAGCTTCGTGTCTCGCCTATGCTTGCTCACCTAATCGAGCTGCTCTGTCTGTCTGTCATACGTCCTGTACTCGTGTAGGTGCTTGATCTCAAAGGTAAGGTACGTCTGGAAGACGCTGGCTTTGACTGGAAGGTACTGGGTGCTGATCTGCCCAGTAAGAAGGAACAGGAGTTCGTAGCCTGGCAGTGTGACCAGGATGCGTACGCCTTCAGTGGTCAAAAATGCTCTGCTCAGGTAAATCGTTAGGACTGGGCATGTTTTGTATTGTATTTTATTGTAGTGTAAATTGCATTGCATTGTAGTACAATGATGTTCTTGCTGTAATTTTCATTCGGGGTTTTTTTCTAATTGAGTCTGTGTAAGTTTCTCTCCCAAGCTTCAGAACGACTTCGGACGTGTTGGCATTGGTTTGCGTTGACTGCACTGTGTTGTTGAAGCACCTTATCCGTGGTGCTCATGTGTGCACTCACTTTGACTCGATTATTCACAGTCGCTTCATACCTTCACCCTATCACAGTCTATTCTGTTTATGCACGAGAATTGGGTCAACGCTGGCCTGGAGAAGCAAATGGCTGACCGTGCTGCCATGCGAAGGTGAGTTATCTCTGAGGCTACTTTCTGTTCTGAGTACCTCCGACTCCCAGTTGCAACCATTCGTTGCTCGCAAACCACTGCTGTACAAATCAAATACACTGACCCTATTTATTTATCCTGTTTCCCCCGTGGGTGCAGTTTGAAGGACTTTACCACCGTACCTGTGCTCTCCTGGAGCAACGAGAAGATCCAGAAGCACTGCGATGACGTTCTGAGTATCCCGGGCGCCAAGGTTCTATTCGGAGGCAAGCCCCTCGAGGAAGACCACACCATTCCCGAGTGTTACGGCTCATGGCAGCCAACAGCCATCTACGTGCCCATTGACGCTCTGTTGGAGGAGAAGAATTTCAAGATCGCTACCACGGAACTGTTCGGTCCTTTCCAGGTATGGCACCGCATCGTGTTGGGTTATGTTCACGTGTTGTTAGTCGCGTTTGAAACACATGTGCATGCATGCAATTATATCATCTGTGAATTAGAGCTGCTTATTTACTTTCAGGAAAGAATGGTACTTGCATATCTCGGGCATGGACTCAGTAATTCCACAAATACCTATATATATAGTATACCCCGATACTGACTCCTCGGCCACACCTGGTACATACAGATTGTAACTCACTGGAAGAAGGATGAGGAACACAAAGTCTGTGAAGCCTTGGAGCGCATCCAGGCTCACCTGACAGCCGCCATCGTCAGTAATGACATACACTTCATCAACAGAATGCTCGGCAACACCCTTAACGGAACGACGTATATCGGTATGCAGCTTATGTGCATATCCTACATCAAATGTTTCTTCCGTCATGTGGTGCGTATTGGCGACTGCACAGCGATTTTTTGTGTGTGTGTGTAGCTCTTAGTCTGTACGCTGTGTGTGTGCTCTCGAGGTTCCCCATAGCCCAATTTACGGGTTGATGGCTTGTACTCTGCCAGAACGCACAGCCGCTCACCGTTATCTGCGGACGCCTCCGCAAAAGTTCTGTTCCATCGTTTCAATCTTCTGTGCGTTTGAATCACAGCTGTGGCATTGTACGCAGAGAAATTGCCGTATGCCACTCGTACACGTGCTCATTCCCTGTTCTTACTTGTCTTATAACTGCGCACAGGTCTACGTGGTCGAACCACTGGAGCTCCACAACAGCACTGGTTCGGTCCATGCGGCGACCCTCGTGGCGCAGGTATCCATACACCCGAAGCCATCAAGCTCAACTGGTCAGGTCACAGGGAGGTCATCGTGGATGTCGGCCCAACGGCAGACACCTGGAACGCCCCCCAGCCAACGTAAACAACTGTGGGTGATAGGAAATAGACCACTGTGAAGTGTGAACGACCATGGAGACTATGAAACAGTCCACCTCGACTGTAGACGAAAGAGTGAGGGTTGTAGTGGAGGCACTTGACAGTGCACAACTGGGAAGACTGTGATATAGTCCGCTTCAACTGTGCACAGCTAGGGAGGCTATGAAAGAGATCACTTCAACCAAATAATAGGAGGCGATTCGCATGGCGTGTGGAGTTTGTCGATGAAGAACACAACGGCCAGGGCTTATAAGTGTATAGTGGGCTGGTGTTTATGTTGTATGTAGCGCTGGTACCACTACTTGCAGAGACGATCGGGTTGTATATATAGAATACAAGAAAAGAAAGTACGGCCGGATCAAATGTGCACCGCGAGTTTGAAATAGCAACCAATTTTACAACTACAACCGGAACACGCACTACATATATAGAGACATCTAGCAATAGCTTGGTCACTATCGGAACTTAAGACTAAAACGTAAATTGACGCTGGGTTTACTGGTGCGGTTTTTATCCCGTTCTAACTAATACCTCAAAAAGCTCGCATTTGCGAAAACTTACTGTTTTAAAAAGAAATCTCTCAGATTCAACATATTGTCCCAATCTGACGCGAGGATTTGGATTGATATCTCACTGACGATCACTATGATTATGCAAACATGAGACCAATACCTAAATTGTGATTGTATGCAATACAGCTACATAGTGACATAGGTCTGAAGCGATCAATACATACAACTACACATTGATAAAACCTTATCGGCTGTCAGCATTTTTGTCTTAGATATATTCCAACTAAATATGAGAGCAGTCTTTATACGTATCATATTCTAAATATATATAATTGAGATATATATATATATTTATATATATATATATATATATATATATATATATATATGTGTGTGTATATATAGTACTATATA